AGTACGTGCCACTAAACTAAGTCAAAATTACATCATAGGATTTCATACTGATATTGTAGTATATTCCTTGATGTATGGAGTGCTCTGTACTCTTTACTCTACTATTGGCTTTTTACATACGCATGAAAATCATCACACGCCAAGTATATACTTAGTGAGACAATTAAAAACAATAAACAATGCAATACAACTTATACATGAAATTTAATGTCAAAATCAAAATGCCATAAGATTATATTACCTGCATTGTCCAATATTTTACCATGATCAAAACAATATGATAATCGTGCATTATAAAATATTTTCAATCCAAGCAAATAAAACATCCTTTCTCAAGATCTTGGTCAAAGGAAAAGCAAGTCGAAATGTTTTTCACAAACCTTCTATAATAACCAGCAAGTCCAAAAAAACTTCAGATGTCTGTAACATACTTTGGAGGTTTCCACTCCACTATTGTTTGAAATTTCTTAGGATCAACTTTTATGCCTTATGCTAAGACAACATGACTAAAAAAAACAACTTCTAACAACCAAAACTCACACTTTGTCAATTTGGCATATAATTTTTTTCTCCTTAAATATCTCGAGCACAACACGAAGATAACCATCATGCTCTATCTTTGTCTCGTGTATACCAAAATATCATCAATAAATACAATCACAAACTAATCTAAGGTTGAAATACTCAGTTCATCAAATCCTGGATCTAGTAGCTCTTGGTATTGAACCTTTATTCTCTTAACTCAATTTTATACATTTGATATTAAACCATGTAAATAGAATCAAAGCCCTGAGAACCATAATATCTTAAATTTCACCTCTCGATCTGGAGGTAACCCAGATAAATACATATAGAAATTCATGCATTGTGGGAATATCATATGATCTTACTTGAGATACTTGAGTATCTATCACCTTAGCTAGAAAAGCTATGAATCCTTTTTATATTATTTTAATCATAACCATTGCTGATATCCCGATAGTGATGATTTCACCTTTTTTCAATCACTAAAATTTCCAATTCCTCTGCATCTTTCTAAATTAATCGCTTATTGTGACGATCAACACAACCTTAGTGCAAAGGCGACCAATCCTTACTCAAAATGATCTAAAACTCGTTAATGATAATTCCATCGGATTCATCAGGAACATAAGCTCCTGAACCTTTATCGAACATTTACTATCTGTCTGACTAACACATGCATCATAACCCATAGGTCATCTATGCATAATAACACTTGTTATCAAGTCGAATTGAATATCTCTACTATAGAATTCCTTAATTCATTCTTCAGATAATCTGTATAACTTTTCCATAACCACATAATTTATTCTCGAGCAGTTGAACCATCTCGAATGAAAGTCTAAATGTCCACGTCGTTCAATAAGAAAACCTGACAATTTGTAGCATTAATTTCATAACAGTTAATGCTAAAATAACATTATCAAGCAAATTTACTCTTTTTTCCCCTCACTACAAAATTGAAACTTTTCAAGTTCTTAAGAATCAATCTAAATCTAAACAATAATTCATTATAGTATAAAATGAGTAGACAATCCATTTACGCAAATTTACCTTCGCAAGGTAACTCTATCAAGTCCATAAAACTTAATTTCTATTCTCAATCAAACACATAATAATTTAATTCACTAATAACTCAGCTTCCTGTAAACTTTTAGCAGAAAACGTATTTACCGCTTACTTATTTCCTCTTACTCAAATCAACAATGCTTTAAACAATTTAATACCTAACTTAAATATTTCTCACTTATTTAAGCTTACTTGAAGGAATCTCAGACTCATCACTAGATTCAGAAATCTCCTTTAGATCCTCATCCGATTCGACTTATCTTAAGTCGTTCAAACTTTTTAATGGATTCCTCAAATTCAGAAACTTCATTGAACGATGGGGCATTTCTTCCACAGAATGGAGGAAAATCCCTAGCAGTTTCAACTCTTCTAGTACGTGATATTGAAGTCACGTCGGATTCTTTTGGGTCAATTTCGATCTCGGCCTTCTTTTTAACATTATCAAATTTCTTATTTTTTTTCTTTAGTTTCTGACATCTGAACATAGTCAAAATCATCTTACATTAGTAAAGAGTAACTTTACTCCCGAATAAGCATCGTCATAATATATATTCAACTATCAGTAAACTTTGGACATCCTAGTGGCATGTATACATTCTTAACAAATTTTTTGAATCATTTCACGTCCAGAAACTGAAAAATCGAAAGCTTTGATATAAATAAATGTAACACATAAAACCCGTAAAATTATACCCATACAGATTATAGCTGTCACTTTATTTTCTAAAAACATTTCCCATTTCCAAAGGTGATTTACAAAATTCTTTTCTCAAATTGGTAATTGGTAATATAAAAATATTATCTCAAGTAAAAACTATCATATGATATTCAATATATATATATATATATATATATATATATATTAAATACATATACTCAAAATAATAATATTGTTTCATATTATCCATATTTAAAATAGCATAAAACGATTCAGTTTATCAATTACAAATCAATTTCAAAATAGTTCAACAAAGTAATTAGAACATTGATAAGCACATGCCACTAAACTAAGTCAAAATTACATCATATGATGTCTTACTACTATTGTAGTACATTCCTTGATGTCTGGAGTGCTCTGTACTCTTTACTCTACTATTGTCTTTTTACCTACGCGTGAAAATCATCACACGCTAAGTATATACTTAGTGAGGTAATTAAAACAATAAACAGTGCAATACAACTCATGCATGAAATTTAATGTCAAAATCAGAATGCCATAAGATCATGTTACCTACATTGTCCAATATTTTACCATGATCAAAATAATATGATAATCGTGCATTATAAAATATTTTCAATAAACCATAACCCAATATGTAAACCTTGAGGACCCTGGGTGCACGAGTCAAATAAATAAACACCGTACTACTAACCTGTGTATGACACATAAGGTCGTGCCCACCATCTGTACTAAGTATACTTAAGTACAGTCCCGAATATGGCACATAAGATTGTTTCCACTATATACACTAATTATACTTTAGTGTAATCCCAAATATGCAGCTTGCTGCTAGACTCTATGGCATGCCAACTATACCATGTTCCTCAATAACTCACTTGGGCTTATAGTCTAATTCATTCATCCATGGCATCATATAACCATATATTTAACATTAGGGCAATTCATACCCAAAATAACACCCATGGTAAAATAACACATGATTCATGATCAATGCACTATAATTTCACAGTGTGATATATCAATGTCATAACAAAGTTATAAAAAATGACATAATATCATGCTGATATAAACAAGGTTGACTTGTCTGAAGTCTTCCAGATGATGTATAAAACATCTATGTACAATGTCATGCATGTATTGCACTCACCTGGACACTTTATATATCCAAAAGATGTGCCTCACTACTATCACAAATCAATCTCAATCTATATAAATCACAAATACATAATGATCACTACAGCAAAAATGGTTTTTAGCAGCGGATTTAGCGGCGTTTTTACAGCAAACGCAAGCAATTTTTTACATGTAGCGGCATTTTGGACAAACGTCGCGATATCCAAATATATAGTGGTGTTTTTGTGCAAACACCGCTAAAAACTCATACTTTAGTGGCGTTTATGTAAAAATTGCCGCAATATCCGAATATATAGCGATGGTTTTTTGAAAACGCTGCTAAAAATGCGTACTTTAGTGGCGTTTATGTAAAAATGCCGTAATATCCTAATATATAGCGGCGTTTTCATAAAAACGCTGCTTAAAATGCGTACTTTAGTGGCGTTTATGTATAAAACGCTGCAATAGAACTAGATATATAATGGCATATTTGTAAAAACAACGCTATAAACTTGTGCAATATTGGTGTTTTTAATTAAAACGCCGCAAAATCACGTACATTAGTGGCATTTTTTTCGTGTAAACGCCGCAAAAAGAAAATTATATCTCCCCTTTCTCCTGCCCGATCCCTAATTCATTTTCCCTCTTCTTCCCTATCTTACCTCTTCTCTGTTACAACATCTTCTCCGCCACACGCTATTATTCTTGCATCAATCTTCTCGACACTACCGTATTCTTGCCATCAAAAAGTCTTGCAGCTGCCGTATTCTTGTCGTCAAGTAGTCTTGAAGCTGCTGTCACCGTTCACGCCGTCGTGACCTTCACCATCACGCCCATCAAGATCTCATCACGTTCTGAGTCAGGCCAGCCATCCTCGCCTTCAGCATCGTCAATATCTGCGATTTCTGGTTTTTGCTTTCTGCTTCAATTTGGTTTTTGGTCGTTCAATCTATTTTTTCCCTTCAATCTGGTTTACAGAGCTTCCTTTCTTTTTTGGGTATATTTTTATTGTTACAGTACAAAACCCAGTTATTTTCTGCATATGTTATGCGTGTTGCAGAATGCTTTATGGAGGAATTTTGAAGGTCGTACCTATGTGTCAAACACAAGTGTTGGAAACAAAAAATTTCGATTTTGTGGTTTCATTATTTGTTTTCTTTATATATTTCTGTAGGTGTTGTTTTGCGGGAAGGTGTTGGAAGAATACAATTATGCAACAGAACCTCAATTCGTTAAAGATTCAGCTGGCCAGGTAATCTTTCTGATAAAATTTAGCGGAACAGTTGTGATATAGGTTTAAGCAAGTTGATATGTACTGTTTCGTAAATTTTCTGCAAAATTCATTGTTTTCAGCTATTCGTAGTTTACTAACCATGAATTTGGCTGGGTGAATATGCTATTAAACAAAAGAAGAAACATTCTTTGGTAATCTTATTGTCGGATATGTTTTAATCGAGTGAAGTATGTTGAATTGGGAAGTTCAAGTTTTATCACCCTTTATTTATTTTTATTTTACTTTATTTTGATCACTTGATCTGTGCTCTCATGTTTTTGACTCGCATTTCTATTGATTTCTATTACTGATTTCTATTACTGATTTCGCTTTGTTCCAGAACAAACTGTCCGAAAATTTTATGAAGTCCGTCCAAGATATTTCAGATTCACGTAGGCGTACATTGGATAAAGGTATGGTTTGTCAACTAGCATCTATGCTACGCAAGAAGCTATATGTTTCTGACTTATGATAAAGGATCACTGATACATTTCATCATATTCGCCCTTCCTAGTTTCTCTGATTTCAAAACAGTTTAACATAAATTTATTGCAGGCTCAACTTTACTTTTTTGTGTTATTTCAATTTCTTGTAATGGTTAATAACGTGCTAGCATTAAATTGCTTACTGCAATCTGACTTACAAACATCTTGTGTCTGATTTTAATTTCATTGTGATACAGCTTTTGATAATATGAATAGTCTGAGGATTCAATTAGAGATTGACGATTATAGTGATGAAGTTGTTCAAATTGCTAGACGCTTTTATGAAGTATGTTTTGTTCTGCCTAAGTCTCATTTCAATGCTTGTTATTTTTGTCTTTTTCCTCAATATTTTCGAGCTATTTTTATATGCATTGTGAAGATAGGCCTTGAATGGAATTTCACTAGGGGGCGCAAATCAGAACTAGTAGAGGTTGCATGTCTTTATCTTGTCTGTCGATGAGGAATATTTCTTTCTTACATTTGTAACGTGGTTACAATCGAAATGCTATTGCCTGAGCTTGAACATGGTTTGTTGTATAAACTTAAAATGTGATGATTCAGCTGTTTACTGCTTTCTGCTTTAATTTGATTTTTGGTCGTTCAATCTATTTTTTTCCTTCAATCTGATTTACAGAGCTTCCTTTCTTTTTTGGGTATATTTTTATTGTTACAATACAAAACCCATTTATTTTATGTGTGTTGCAGAATGTTTTTTTTCTTAGTTTATGACCTATGGCTTCCTAGAACTCGGCTTTTCTTTGATGGTTTAAGAATTTCAGAAGTGTTTTTCAGGTTAGTTTGATTTATAATTACTTTGCATAGAGCTGACAATGTTCATTCAAATTGTTTCCCCTTTTTTTCACAGTTATTATGTTCTTAGTGTTATGTTTCTATGATATGTTTGTTTTCCTTGTATTTCCACTATTCCTATATAATTTGTTTATGCCTTTAGTTTTGCAGAACATTAATCAAAATGAATCATTATCATTTGTGACTGATTATGTTGTGTTTTCTAGTTTTTATTATTGGCATCTACACCTTGGAATTTGGGGATCATACTGTCTGGATTGTGTTCTTCTTACTGTTTGTAAGAGTATTTCATCATGTTAGAAGTGTTATACCTTCTGAAACTAAAGAATGATGCTTTTCTAATTCATACAGGTTTCATTACCTATCACCATGAGTTCCACCACACTAAGTTTTTGGAATCAAATCCAAATTTAGTTATTGGACTGGGAGCATTGAAACTAACAGGATACCTAAGGGAATTCTTGCAGCAAAACAACATTACCTTTGTGATGTAAGGCACTTGTTCCTTATCAATTGATTGTGGATCTAGGAAGGAAGTAAAACAACATGTACAAGTGAATGGCTCAAAAAGAGGGGGTTAAGGGTGGTAGACGTATGGTGAATAGGTGGGTTATTTAAAATGAGAGATGGAAGCGGAAGATGGTTGATATGGCTATAGTTATGGCGATGAAACAAAAGGGATGGTAGGGAGGAGGGTATCTTGAAGAAGTCTCGAAGAAGAACCAATTCTATAGAGAGCAAAGACCCAGACTTTATATTGCTTCTTCAAGGGGTGGTATTAAGGACTTTGACCCACTAGTTATAAGAACTAGGAACCAGAAGTATCAAGATGAAAAGAAAGGGGTTGACGCCATAAGTATTAAAAATACTTTATAAGTCGATAAAAGTCACCAGGACTTAAGGAAGAGAATAATCTCAATTATATTAATAAAAAATGGTCTGATTACAAATGAAATATAATGGCATATTTATAGTTTTTGAAGGGACTTGGTCGAATAGGTACATGTTGGTTCGGCCAGCCCTTGTACCTTCCTAAAATGACATGATTTTTAATGAAAAAAAGAAGACTTTAATGAAAATACATGCTCTTGGCCGAATGGTTATGTGTTGGTTCGTCCCTGAGGATGATTTGAATGCATTTGGAAGTTATTTGGGTGCCAAAATGAAGAGGAAAGAGTCTTTGGCCAAATAGGAAGCATCCCTTGGTGTTTTGGCGCCAATTTGATGTCACATGAAGTGCACATGCTTGAATGATGCACATGGCAGCCTACATGAATGCACATGGGTCTTCTTGCTATGCTTGTATGAGGTTGCAACCATAGGATGATGTCTTGAAGTCCATAGAATGAAGATAGGCAACAACTAGGCGTGAATTAGCTTCCATCATCTATCTAGATGACATGGCATCCATTGGGTAGCCTAGAGATAAACTAGATTCAAGGTAAGCAAGATGAGTGTCTTGGTAGCTAACTAGGTGAGTTATAGCTTGATAAACTCAAGCTAGTTAGCTTTGGTCTTCTCAGCTCCTCAGCTACTCTCCCAGCTACTTCCAGCTACCTTTAGTCCACTTTTCAGCACTTTGGTCCAAAGCTATCCTCCAGCTAAGTTCAGCTACATGCTAGCTCCTCCAGCTAAGTTGAGCTTTCCTTAGTGTTCCACGAGCTGCCATGATATTTGTAAGCTGTTTGTGAGCTGCATATGACGTCCAAATACTTTACCAAGCTGCCTCATCATGCATCACACTCCAATGTACCTATATGTGCAAGGAAACAAGGTAAGTCCATGATATTGAGCTATTATGAGCCAAATACCTTGCTTCCATGTATGATTATGGTGATATGAGCTATGTTTGAAGGTCATGAGCTAATTATATCATCTCAAAATATGTGTAAGATAATACATGAAGCTTAAGAGCTAATATGAATGCATATGAACTAATGAAATGATTTATAATGATGCTGCCTTGATGTAAATATGATAATCACACTTAATATGATTATAAGACTATCCTAACATGCTTATAACATTGTGTATCAATCATAAAGATATGGATATATGTTGTATGCATGAATATCATATAACATGGTATTCATAAATGATAAATGGAAACATGTAATAATAATATCCTAAGAAATGATATGTAATCATAGCATATATTTGAATAATATGAAAAACATGATCAAATAAGCATAGGATGGAAATAATAATATGATAATTTATACTAACATGTGAATGCATGCTTATGATAGAATAGAATGTATAAATGATATAGTATAAGATAGGGTAATGAAGAACTCCCTTAGAAATAGCTTTGAAGAACATTCATGGTGTGTTCAAGTCATGGAGAAAGTTGGAGCTAGTTTGGATCGTATCATCCTCCCCTTCTTTTAAGCGATTTGTCCTCAAATCGAAGTAGTTTCTCATTGAAGACCTTCTTGATGTAGGAAAGATTGATTCCCTATGTTTTCATCCAATAGATGATTCACACGATATGTTTAACCTCTTATCTTGAAATCTAGTAACTTCACGTCCTTTAATGGGAGGACACAATGTTTGGGAACCATCACATGTCATTTGAACAAGAGAGACAAATCCCTTCACGAACCAACTTGATCCTTTTTCTTTATTCTTTGAATCATCATAATGCTTGTAAATGACCTCTATATCTTCATTTCCTCCTTTTAATTCACCATGCTTGTTGGTGAAAAGGTTTGTCTCTTGGTTGGAGTCATCATGTCACTTGGTGAAGATAAGTGTTCTTTGAATGACTCCTTGGGGCTGATTTAAATCATCATGTCCTTTCACCATTGTGCCTCTCCAAATTATTGCCTTGAAGGTTGGTATGATTTCTTTACCATAAGGATGAAACAAGTTGCTGCAAAATAAATCAAAGTTAGTAAATGAAAAACTATTAACAAGGTGAATGGAAATAACAAACCAGGGATGTTTAATGGGCATTGGTTTCTTGATGATGAAAAACTCCATTGGTTACTGAAATCTCTTCTTTAGTTGTAATGTACTTGGAGCCTCAATGATCACAACTTGTGGCACTTCAAGTGACACATCTTTTTGAACTTCTAGAGACATAATTGTTGGAACCTCAAAGGACATGTCTTGTGGATTACCACAAGTCACGCCTATTGATTCTTCAAAAGACATGTTCTTTGAGTCTTCGATTTGAAGTGATATATCTCTAGGATTGTCCTGCAAAAAAAGTAATAATTGGAGGAAAAGAGTTGTTAGGTGAATCATGCTCTCCATTCTCCCTTTCTTTTCCAATGTTTCTCGTATCAATCTGATTTTCCACTTGTTCTACTTGATACTCTTGCAAGACCTCTCTTTCAACACTAACAGTTTCATTTACAATTGTTCTTGTCTCCTTAAAACGTTATTCTTCAAGGGTTCTTTTCATGGCTTTCTTTTTCTCCCATTCTTCTATGTGTGACTTAAGGGTCACTTGGCATTCATGAACTTGACTTGGAAGCAGAGGTGCCAATATGATTTTCTTTCCTTGATGTTGGAAAGAATACTTGTTGGAAAATCCATCATGGACACCACATCACAAAGGACGTCATCATTGTATCTTCCAATTGAGAAAGGTACAACAACTTGTTTGGTTACCTTGGCTTCACCCACGTCGTTGAGCCATTGAAATTTTTAAGGATGAGGATGCTTGGAAGTCTTGAGACCCAACTTTTCCACCATGTGAGTACTTGCTACGTTTGTACAACTTCCTCCATCAATGTTCACCACGCAAATTTTATCTCCCATGTGACATTTGGTATGGAAGATGTTCTCTCTTTGTTCATCCTCTTGACTTTGAATGTTCAAAGTCCTCTTTTACTACAAAGATGTTGGATGGAAGAGACATGTTAGCAAATAAGGAAAAAATGTGTGTAGGACCTTACCAGAATATACTCTCACAAAGCCTCACGACTCACTCCAAGAAAACTTGAATATCACTCAATCCGCTTGTGTTTGCAACTCTAGGACTTAATGACTTTTACTTGTCCTCTTCTGATCGCACACACTCTCCAGCCTTTTTCCTCTCGATTCTCTTGTCTCAAGTTCTAGAGAACTTTACTCAAAACCATATCAAGTAAATTTTTACTTGTTTGGCATCGGCTGCAAAAGGGTTAGTAGGAATGGAAAAACAAAATATAATGAAAAGGTGGCTTAGAAATAGAAAGAAGAGAATAAAAAGGGGTTACTTACACAAAGTCATTTTACAACCTTCTATCACCACAATCAATTTAAAGGCTTACTTGAATGGCTTGGTGATGAGAGTTGTTGATGAGTGCTTCAAATTTCTTTCTTTCATTTTCTTCTTTTTTGAGTGCGAGAAATTCTTCTTTTGGAGTGATTAATTCCTTTTCTGATTTTTTTTTATTTCTTTGACTTTGCACTTCACTTGCACTTTTTTTTTGTATTTTTGTTGTTGTTGTTGTTGCACGTTGCTTTCTTCCACCAAAGCTTTGATTACCGCTTGATGTAATGCTTCTGATGCCACTTGATGTAAGGCACTTGTACCTTATCAATTGATTGTGGATCTAGGAAGGAAGCAAAACAACCTGTATAAGTGAATGGCTCAAAAAGAG